TGCAGACATGCACCACCATGCCCAGTCCCAATTGTCGTCTCTGTGCACCCTGGGGCAGGTCCGGTGTTCGAACTTCTGATCCCTGTGCATACTTGAAGGCCCTTTAATATGCTGAGCTATTTTTACCAGCGTTAAAGCTTAATTTATAAAGAGTGTAATAGTAATAAAACCACAAAATCTGTATATAAGCCCAGCTAGATAGCTCAGTGGACTAAAGTACCTGCTTAGGCAGAATGCAGTGGCTAATCTTCCATCCCAGGCATGCTCTGTCAGCCACATCCACAGGGCGCGCTGAGATGGTGATTAAGACTGGGCGTGGTAGTTGCCACCTGTAATCCCAGCAATTGGGAAGCTGAAAACAGGAGGATCACTATGAGTCCTGTTTGTGTAGTAGACTCTGTAGACCCTCTATTAAATACATAAAATATTAGAGTCCATATATATGTATAATACCAATACAAAGAATATTCAACCATGGATTTTGTATTCTCCCATTACTAAGAATTATATAAAATAGTTTCATGAACTGCTACCATCTGTGCTGTACAATCATTCATTTAACTCCTACAAAAATATCATCTTTCAATTTTTAACATTCAAAAAAATGTTTTCAGGATAATAGTCTTGTTCCTACCAAGAGATGTATAAACACCTGCATAACAAGAAAATACCAAATACCTACACTCAAAATTAACTAGCAGAAATACTGATTTTTTTAGAAGACTTATTTAGGTTTTCATAATATTTCAAAATTCAATAAGCATTCATATCCTAATTTGTTTATCCATATGTTAGCAATAACAAAGGATATCATAATGTAACTGCATATGAATATCCTATAGAATTTTCAAAAGATTATGAGCTCCATTGCGATAAATCTATTGCACTTGCACAAATAAAACTATTTCAGATTTTGATATATTCACATCCCTATGAAATTACATACATATAAGTAGACAGTCCTTTAGTCCAGCAGCTGAATTCAAGTTTTCTCTGGGTCTTACAGACAACAGATTCACACAGAGATGTCTCTTCTTATAAAGAGAGCAAAATACCACGCGCACTATCACTTCATCCAGAAATGCTTCCCCTGAGCAATGCTGCTGCACTTGCAGGAAATATAATTTTTCCAATCTGTAGAAAAGTGTTACTTTATTAAATTGTTGTGTTTGTTAAAGTTGATGGCATGAATTCCATAGAAACTCAAGAAACCTGATTATTAATTACAGCAAACAGAACTACCCATGTCTTAGAGTTAAATTTATTGGATAATGAATCATGTATTGCTAAGTCACATATTTGCTATTTCTCTTCATGACATAAGAAATAATGACACAGGATTTATAATGTATAATTCCCAGCAAAGCATATCATCTTGACTTCAAATGCCACATTTGCCTTTGGAAGCGTTAAAGATTGGAGAAAGACTTGTGATCCTTGTTACATTATGTTTTGAGTCTACAGTTTTGATGTCTAAGTGCACAGTTGAGTGAGTGCTCATACAGCAAAACACTCACTGAACTAGGGCTAATGCCTGGGGACAGTTCATGTGTGTTGAAATCACAGCACATATGGCTGGTTTCTTCACTTCTTGCATGTCCAAGATGACAATTTTAAATTAAACTCGCTGAGACCTCATACCTAACTGATGGGAGACTGGCACCTGCAGAGATGCCAGAAGAAGAATAACAATTAGGAACATGATTTCTTGGAAAATATCACAATAGAACAACTTGAGGTCTAATCTCCAAAAACAACCAATAATATAAGGAAAAACTTTCTATCCTCAAATCATGGTCTGTTGGTTTAAGGAAGGATAATAGAAGAGATAGATATGATTCAAATAAATGAGTTGGTATATGTGTTTTTTTAGATAGTGGGATGAATTCCAGCCTTTCAGACCAATAAATGGAACTTGTAAAAAATATTTTCAGAATTCATGGTCTTCAATGCAGACAATTTTGATATTCATGCAGTTTAACAATTTTCAGTTGATACCTGAACTCACAAAGAGAGATGAGTAATGTTTATTTCTGAAGATCTTGGTTCAAGTACAGAGAAAGCCTAGTTCAACTTTATGAAAATTCTGTGTATTACAGACTCCAGTAACTTAATCATTACGATGTTTTTTACAACAGGAATTGGAAAAGATAAAATAGATGTAGGACTGTCCTATGTATCTACAAATATTAATGAAATATTGACCAAAATACACAGCACACCAATCATGACACGCAATGTTTTGTGTGTCAAATATTTAAATACTATAGCCTCTACGTATGTTAAGAAGGAAGTCAATTAAAAATTGGAGACAATATATCTCAGACAATATTCCCCACGTGTTTAAATTTAAAAAAATAACCAAGCTATGTCAGTTTAAAATATTATATTTTTTATCTCTGGTGAATTAATTTTTTTTGTAAAATAACTGCAAAAAATGTAAAATTCCAAGGAAAATGTCATGTTAATATCACTTTAACCATTTGTAGACTTTACTGATGTTTAAATTTATCACTCCTTATGGGTCAGTCAGATACCTCTGTGGACTAAAGGGCCTGCTTCAGCAGAGAGCAGTGGTTGGGGTTCAATCCCCTGCATGTCATGCAGAACCTATCGCTGGGCCACACTGAGGTGGCAATGGAAACTAGACATGGTGGTGCGTGCCTGAAATTCTAACACTTGGGAGGCTGAAAACAGCAGGATCACTGTGAGCCCAGTATAGGTAGTGAAACCCTGTACACCCTGCCTTAAATTTAGAAAAGAATTTACTTCTTTCTGATTTTTTTAATTGTGAAGAATTATTCCTCTGCAAGTGCAACATGCTAGGCAGCATTAGAAGATATTATATTTAGTGTCATGAAACAAAATAGTAAGATGGGTATTTCAAATACATATGTGATCTACAATTATTTTTTGGAATACTCAGAAAAGAAAAAAAAATCAGTATATTTATAGAGTATTTTCTAGCGACAAAATGTATTGGAAATTTAGAAATTCATTTTTTAAATAGAGAGGATAAATGAGAATTAAAACAAATAATTACAAGTAATACAGAATTTCACTTAATAAAGTACTATGGATTTAATAGCATTTATTGCAACACATAGTGTTGTCTTCCAATCAGTTATTCATATTGTCAGATATATGCATATAATATTAGAAGAAAAAAATGAAAGAAAAAAGAAATGTATAAGAAATTAAGAAGAGAAAAAGTATAAAGAATTGAAAAAGGAGACAAAACAAAGTAGTATCTGCTCCTTTCCATAGGTGAGCAGAAATGCACAGTAAGATATCCAAGCCATCCTCCTTACATACATAGATAAATCTCTTTCTCCCACTCCCTCCTCTGTTCTTCTCACCTCAGTAACTCCTCCTTTCGAATAAGTTCATTCTCTTTTCCTAGGATCTATTGTGCCCTTCATATTTCATTTTTATCTTTCAGGTTCTCACACTAAGGAGACAAGACAATGTTTGCACACGTGGGCCTGATTTATTTCACTTAAGAGTATGTTCTCTATATGCATCCATTTACTGACAAAAGACTCAAATTTATCTTGTTTTATACCTGAATAATACTCCATTGTGTAAAGATACCTTGCCTTCTTTATCCATTTCTCAGTTGATGGGTACCTGGGTTGTTTCCAGGATTTAGCTATGGGAAATTGCACTGCTATAAGCATGAGTACACATTTATCAATATGGTATATGGTTTTTAGTTCTTCTGGAAAGATGCCTAGGAGGTGGGGTGGATAGTTTGGTTTCAACATGCCAATGGCTAAAACTAGACCCAAATCTATCACCATGCACAAACTACAATCAAAACGGATCAAAGATTTAAATACTAAAATAAAAACACTAAGTCTTCTGGAGGAAAATGAAAATAAAAATCTTAAAGACAGGTGTAGGATAGTGAGTTCATGAATAAAAACCAAACTACACAGGAAATACTTCTAAGAACCAACAACTAGGATCTCATCTTTTTCAAAAGTTTCTACACCTCAAAACAAATTTCTAACAAAGTTAAAGGAAAACCCACAAACTGGGGAAAAATATAGTGGACTGTCCCTCCCACAAAGGCTTTCTATCTAGGACATATAAAGAATCTAAAAAAATCTTGCCCACAAAATTGGAAGACTCTATCCAAAAAAAAGGGGATCTGTGATGAATATACACTTCTCAGAGGAAAAAATACAAATGGAAATTAAATATATGGAAAAATGTTCATCATTGGTCATTTGAGAAATGCAAATTAAAACAAGAATTAAATACCATCTTACCCCAAAAGAATGGTAACATCAAGAAGTCAGCAAATAAGAAATGCTGGCGGGGCTGTGGAGAAAACAAATTTCTTCTCCACTGTTGGTGGCAGTGGAGACTAGTACAATCACTGTGGAAATCACTGTGAAGTTTCCCTTAAAAGCAGGAATTGGAGATCTTGTACAAATTCATTTGTTTGTGCTTTTAAAATGTCTTTATTAGTATACATCTTCAGTACATTGTGCAAACATTCCCTAAGTGGAACGTGGTGTACACAACATATCTCATTATTTTTTTTTCATCTCCTCCTCCATAGCTCCCTTCAAACCTTGATCTCTTTCCTATTTACAATCACTCCTCTCTCTAGCTCAAATCATTTAAATTCTGTTTTCAAGTTTATGTATAATTAGTTTTTCCCGTATAATTCAAAAAATATGTGAACCTTGGTTTTGTGGCAAACATGAAAAAACTCGTATGAAATAAAGCAAGTCGATAGTTTTAATTATATCACATAAATTGATAGTTGAAACTAAACATTTCAACCAAATAAATGACATAAATCTTCCTAACCAATTCCAATAGCCTTAAAAATATATGTAAGATTTTTATAAAAATTCACATATTATATGTTCTCTATTTTTCAGTTTTTAGAGCTGAAGAAAACTTTAGCATACTGAAATTATCACTCATGACTTTCTGGAAGAATGGAATCTTAATTTAAAATAAGTAAAACAAGTCCAATTTTGTTTCCTTATCCAGATCTTCCTCATGGCACTTTTCATCTCTGCATTTCTCAAGGTATAGATAAGGGGATTCAACATAGGGGTGATTACCGTGTAAAACACAGTCAAGGATTTATCAATAGGTAATGTACAGGGAGGTCTCACATATATAAAAATGCAAGGAACAAAAAACAGGATGACCACTGCGATGTGGGAGCCACAGGTGGATAAGGTCTTACGTCTCCCTTCATGACTCAGGTTCTTAATGGATTGCAGAATGACCCCATAGGAGATCAACAAGATTGTAAAGATGGCCACAGAGATCACCCCATCATCAGCTAGCACCGTGAGGCCCACAACATAGGTGTCCGTGCAGGCAAGTTTTATTAAGGGGTATATGTCACACAGAAAGTGGTCAATGACATTGGGACCACAGAAAGGAAGGTTGTAAACAAAAAGAACATGTGGGGTAGCATGCAAAAGACCTCCAAGCCAGGTCAAGAGCACAAGCATAGCACACCGCTGTTTGTTCATGATAGTCATATAATGCAAGGGTTTGAAGATGGCCACGTAGCGGTCATAGGCCATGACAACCAGGAGTATTTCATCAACACCACCAAATAAGTGACCTACAAATAACTGTGCCATGCAAGCTTTGAAGGAAATAGTTCTTTTTTTATAAAGTAAGTCTTTAATCAACTTTGGGGTAACTGTAGTGGAATAAACAGCATCCATAAAAGATAAGTAGCCAAGAAAGAAGAACATTGGGGCATCCAAGGCTGGGCTGAGCACCACAGTCAGGACAATGAGTAGGTTGCCTGCCATTGTCATCATGTAGATTAGCAAGAACACAGCAAATAATATTTTCTGACCCTGTGTGCTCTGAGTGAGGCCCAAGAGCACAAACTCAGTCACGTTGTTCTGTTGCTCCATATTTCCTTCTGTGTGTCCTAGTCTTTCTGCTGAGCACAAAATTCTCTGCACATAGAATTAGGGTGACTTGTGGATTTGAAGACAGTAGGTTTATTCATTTATTTGTAGGCATTGTCATTTTTTAATGTTCCAATCTTTCAGAGTTTTTTCAATTTCAATTTGATGGTAGCCAGGTGCCATACTGTAGAGGAAAGGTGCTGGATTTGAAGAACTGCTGGGCTATGGAAAGAAACAATCCTGTAAATGTCCTACCAATGTGCTCTGAAACTGTCTCATTGCTTTTTTTCTCAATTAAATTAATTTGAAAAGTAAAAAAGAAAGCAGAAGTCTTTTGCCTGACTTTTACAATTGCTTATAAATTTTTTCTTCCTAATTTGATATTCATTTATTTTTTTCTTTCTTCTTCCATTTTTATGTGCATATATCAGGTAATATGAATAACTGTTTCGAAGATAGCACTATATATCACAGTAAAATACTTTGAAATTCATATTACTTTGTTAAGTAAAAAATCTGTATCACTTGTCATTTTTTCTGTTTTAATTCTAACTTGTAATCTCTTTAAATATAATATTTCTTGAAAGAATGTGGTTATATTCAATAGCATGTCCCATCTTGCATAACTATATCTATTAATCTGAGCACAGATTTCATGATAATAATAGACAATGTATCAATCACTATTAATTAGCTCTTCTTGTTTTGAAAATCTGTAACATATGTATTGTTACATGTTACCCTGTTTCTTTCTTTGCTTTTGTTTTTACTTTTCAAGATAAAAGAAAATTATAATAAAGTTCAAAAAACTAATTGGAGACATGTGTTGGAAAGGATTTCTTATTAAAATATTGACACTATAACAGCTTTGTTTCTATTAGGAAATGAAAATATTCGCACATAGAATTGACTGCACATGCTAAAATAAGAATCAATTAGATTTAATTTAGAAATGGTAAAACAAACCTTATATTTGTTTCAAGTTCATGAAGGAGAGATGACTTTCTACAATCCTGTAGTAGATTCATTTATTTAGTTAATAATATACACCTCAAACACACACACTTCTCAGTGGACTGTTTTTAAACATTAGTAAATCATAACATAAACAGAAAAAGTATTTGGAGTATGAGATTATGTTTTAGGCAACATAAAAAATTCCTATCTAAAATATACAGAAGGTTTTACGAAATTAATAAATGAAATACAAATCAACAGCAAAGTGGACAGATGATATACACAGGTAATGAAAGAAAAACTATATTCACAAGACCAGTAAACATAAGATGCTTCCATTCACCTCTGAGGAGAAAATGGTCAAGGAAAATATACAAATAACACTGCATAGATATTATATATTAATTGTGATACAGATTTAAGAATGATTAGAGAAAATTTAAAGGGTTTTTTTTTTCGTTTAATTTTATAATTTTTGGGACACAATTTCACAATCTCTTGTGAAGTTTAAATCCACACACCATTCTTAACAATATCATTCTTTGCAAAGTATTGTATGGAAATTAAAGCCTTAGTACATAAGTATACATGCAAAACGCGTTTTTTGGTGTAATTTTAATAGCATTTCTAATGTTTACAATTTAAATTGGATAGTGATAAAGAATGGGTAAACATATAAAATCTCTTAAAAGTAAAATATCATTTATGAGTCAATTTTAATTATATCATTTGTCTTAGTGAAATTTTACAAGTAACCAACAGTAAGCAGACAACTATGTATGACAAGGTATTATTATTAGACATCCATAAAGATAGTTTATACCTATCCACTTATTAATGTATTACTCTATGTGAACATGAGTAATAAGGAAGTAGTTAGATCGGTTGCATTCCTGGTGCTCATTTTTTCTATTCAGACAAGTAGGACTGAAGTTTGTGATTTATACCTTGGTTATGTTCTAGATATGATGGAATTAAAATGGTAGAAGGGGTACAATTATGGAAGGCTAAAGTAAGAATGAGAAGAGGAAGTGGACGATGAGGAGAAGTAGGAGGAAGAGAAAGAAGAGAAGGCAACATGAGGAGAGAGAAGAACTTACTGACAGACACAGAAGCAGAAGGAACTGTCACAATGATAATGGAAAATATACTATAAATAGGTCAGTATTCACCAGCCCTTTACATTTTTAAGTGGTCCTACTACTAAGAGTTACTCTTAAATCTTTGTTAAATTTTCCTCCACTATAATTAATAAATTATGCCCTTCTACTTCTACTTACACAAGGATTTTCTGCCTGCCTCTCTAAGTCTCATAACTCTGCTCTTGCACAACTCTTAATAATACGAAATCCTCTAATGTCACTTCCATTTCCTAATTCGTGAATTTTTCTTCCCTTCACAAGTTTCTCTCTTTTTATCAGTTTTTGCCATTCTGTCTACATATTTATACAATATGTTGGCATGTTGGAACAGTCTCCTTTGCCCTAACATCTGTTAGAAACAGGCAGCCTGCCTCACTTCTCAGTGTTTTGTTGATGAACTTTTCCACTATGTTGAGTCTAGAGGTGTATGTAAGTCCTCCTTGACTTTCACACCATTCCTGTGATAAGAAGGATTAGCTTGCTTAATTGAGACTTACTGGCAGTTCTTGAAAATTACACAATCACTTTCTAAAGAGCAAACCTCATCCTTTAATGTTCAACATCTACACAGTCTCTAGAAGAATACTTTGCTGATCTTATGAAGATATTTGCAAGTACCTGAACTCTAAATGTCTCCCTTAAAGTCACACTTCAAAATTAAATTTAAGAAGACTTATGTTAGGGGAATGCTTTTTTGACATTTATAATATCAAAATGTTCAAGAAGAATATTAAAGCCTGGACTCAATATACACATATTTTTCTAAGGATAGAAGGCCCTTTAATTAACAAAATCACATAGACTTTTACAAAGAATATAAGTACCCATGTAACCACTGTATTATAACAATATATGTAAATCCTAGTCCAGAATCTCAAAGGAAATACCCCTCCTGACTTACTTGCTTAAGGAGTTGGCTGCTTAATAGTTCAGATTTTGGAACTCTTCTCATATTCATTTATGGTACTGAAACATGCATGGATGCCATCTCTGAAAATGCAAAGAGCAGAGTAACATATACCTCTCATTGCTTCCACCTCCAGATGCTTCCCTTCTTTGCATATTTGCAAAAGGATTGATTCAGTGGATTTGAAGAGAAGAAATGATATTTTTTTAAACTGTGGATTTAAAAATAATCTGTCAAGAATTTCTGGTAATTACTTGATATCTAGATTTGGTAATAAACAATCTTGAAATATGCATTGCTTGGCAATTTGGACTAAACAGCAGCAATAGGAAAATTCATTTTGAGGTAAAATAACAAATTTGAGTTCAAAAATTCAAGAAAGACAGTTTTACTTTCCACTTGTGCTTCAAAGCTGCCAAAGGGAAATAATGAAAGTATTGGTAAAACCAGCCAAATGTACTATTTTGACAGTACATACCATACATAAATTTAAGGTTGACTAAGTATGGGGATGACATTTAAGCCCTGCTTTTTAACAATTTGAGTTTATCTACTCCTAAGAATACAATACTCCGTGTAGTATTACAAATGAACACTCCTTGTGGTTAGAGAAATGCCAGTAGACACTTTATCTGTACTATAACCTGTGTTTTTGAACTGATCCTTTGTTGAATCTCTATAGTGGTTTTTTCATAATTAAACTCAATGGGACCTCGGTCATAATTTTAAGTGGACAATATGCAGCTGAATAGATGCCCAAATAGGAATAACTATCTAAAACTTGATTTCCAAAGGCATATCCTTTGGGGAAATGTCGTTATTGAACATCTTGAGGTCAAGTCATCAAAAAGAGAATAGCCAGTTTGTGCAGAATTGAAATATATAACAACTCTTTTATTAAGAACACAATATACGGTTGTTGAGTAGAATAGTAAGGTGGATGAATATAATAAAAATATAAGTAATATATGCAAGTATGAATCAGTTTTTAATAATCTCATTTTTTAAAAATTAATAGTAGGTAATTAAAAGTATAGTTTTAAAAGATCATACCTTAAGAAAATATATCAATGCAATGAGTAATATTGTTTAGTCAATATTTTTTCACTTAATATCAGAATCACCGGGATGGACGTTTATTTTGAGAACAAGCCATTGAAAAGTTGATTCATGTGCTGATATATTCTGTTTCATCAGTCAGTTAAATGTTCTGAACATAGCACAGTATTAAACAGATAAATGGATAGAATGTGCATTAAAAGAGAAATATGGAACAGACAACACATCAGAGCTTATTGATATTCAAGTCACTGGTGTATTTATACTTCATTGGCTGAGGAATCTAAATGTACAGAGTCAGGTGCTAGTCTGGATGCTCCAAGGACAGGGCCATTTTTGATGCTACAGCCATCGCATTATAAAGTTACTCACTGAAAGAACAACTCATTTAAGGACTCTCTCTCTATTAGTTGGAAGTGTATGGTTTCATTCCATGTTTTGAAATAAAATGCTAATAAATGTGTGAATGATTGTGAGGATTTTGCTGCTCTATAGAGATCAACAAAAGCCTTGAGATAGAACATCTTGATGTATGTCCAATGAAGTCAACCTATTAAGATTGATCAATACAAGGTGCAGTTTGAAGTGAAGAAAATATATGGGATTGACAAATGCTAAGGTTTTCCAGCAGTAAATACAGTGATAAATTTGTGCTCTAGGATGAAGGGATTCTCTTTCTAAGCCCACCGTTCTAAGAAACAAGCATTAAGCAGAATGAATGTTGGAAAGGAACAATGTTATAGAACATGTTCTCCTGGATATTACTTTATTTTTTTCCTTAACTTTATTGAGAAAAAATATAGCAATGAGACAGTTTCAAACCAAATTGGTAGGACAGTTTCAATAATTAACACATTGCATTCATTCTTCCTAGTGGTTAATTGCTGTACAAGATGCGGACTTGATGTCCTATTTATAAACAACATTAGAACAAATCCCTCTATTCCTTAAGA